GTATAGGGTTTCTGAGAGTGACTGGTGGGTTTGAACCACTAACTGTGGTTAGCAATCCAGTGCTGCTCCTACAGCACCATACCAGGACGTCTTACACAGTTTAGGATATATTGAATGAATTGCTGTTGTTTACCATTAAAGTTAATACTGAAACAGAATCTAAGTATAGTTGCTGTCTTTCCCCAAATAAGATTTTTCTGAAAGTTCTAGAAAACTACATAGTTTCAGAAATTTAAAAAAGCTATTCGTATGAAGCATTTTCTGAAATCGTCAACTGGCTTACTGAATTATGAAAACTCTCTCAACGCAGGTGTACCATACCTTTCACGATGAGGTGGATGAGTATCGTCGACACTGGTGGCGCTGCAATGACCCCTGTCAGTACAAAAAACCTTATTACGGCTACGTAAAGCGTGCTACTAACAGGGCCCCTTCTGCGCATGATTACTGGTGGGCCGAGCACCAGGGAACTTGTGGAGGCACTTACATAAAAATCAAGGAGCCAGAGAACTACTCAAAAAAAGGCAAAGGAAAGACAAAACTTGGAGAGCGCCCAGTATCAGCAGCAGAGAATGAAGGTACCATGTTGTTTGTTCTTCCTGCTTCCCAGAGCTGTAGCTACAGTGTAAAGACGGGACTCCCCTTCAGAGAACTGGTTATCCAGAGAAGCATATGGAATCATTTAGGGTTGAAGTTTTCACATGTGGATGTAGGAGGAAAATACCACTGTCCATGAAATGATGGTAAGAAAATATACTTCATATAGAAATGAATACACTAGAAGTACTTTCCATTGATAGTATTTGAGGTACAGTCTTGACTTTGACTGAATCCCATGGAAACAGAAGGCAGAAGGTTGCCAAAATGAAAGCAAGATTTAAATACCAATGCCTGGAACGTGAGTCTCATCAGTTGGATTCTGTCTGAGTGACGTCTCCTCCTGATGCATGCATTTTTGCTGGGAGAAGAATGGGGAAAGGACATGACGTGTCTTTGCCAGTACTTCATCTTGCAGCTGTAGCTCTTCCCTATGGAATTCAGAGCTGCCTCCTTTGTTGGAGCTACCCAGGTTAGTGAGGTTGATGCTTTCTCCCTTGTTAAGTTGTGGCTTTGATGTGATAGGATCTGGGAACTTAAGTTTTATGTCCCACGTTTGACATGATAAGTAAGGCAAGGAGCTATAGAAGGATGTATGTGGGGAGAGAATTTATTTTGTGAGTAGAAGGAAAAATAAGTATATGGAAGCAGACTTTTCCCTTCTGGGACTGAATGTAAAGGACACCATGCAGTAAAAGTTATTTTGCTATTGATCTTTGGCATGGTAGGATTCCTTCTCTAATATGAGAGGATTTTTTATATCCCTGGTCCTATAACCTCGCAGCACCAGAGCTCTTGATTTCTGAAGTAGTAGTTACTGTGCAGATAATAAAAAGAAAATAGTCATTTTTTGGGGAAAATGATCCATTTAACCTAATATTTATCCATTAGCTTGAAAAGTATTACTGCATTCATTTTTTAAGTACGTTTTCTTAATGTGTAAGACTAACCTAGTGTGTAGGATGCACACTTGATAATAAAGATCATTTTTAAACAACCACTACAGGTGGTGTTTATGTGTATGTGTGTGTGTGGGTGAAACAAACACGGAAGGACCTTCGGGAAGGACTAGTACAGTTCCTCCCCTGAGAAATGGTTGCTGACAAGTGATGGTGTTACACAAAACCTTGCCTTTATCCTAGTTACCGATCATTGTCGTGTCTTATCATTTTAGCTTTAGCAGGGCATTCATAGTATAACAATTCTAGGTTACATATTAGTTTTTCTGGGTTCCACATGTATTTCTTAGTTTACTACAAAAATTTCTTGTGTGGTAATATGTACAAGGGTAAGTCACAAAGTTATTGCTACTAGGCTTCCAGTGCCAGTTCATACCTTCATACATGCAGGGGTTTATTCCAAGCAAAACTTGTTTAAATATGTCTCTACAATCAGTGAATGGCTGCAGGCAAGTTCTTTCAGTAACACACTTGCCTTCAAATTTTTCTTTAAAGAATACTTTTTGCATCACAGGAAAAAATGATTCTGAAGTTAGGGTTAATACCAAATGTTTCACAAAACTCAGGTGGCCATCTTCCCAATCCATTGAAGCTTTGCAACAAGTTAACTGGAATGCCTGCCCCACGTAATTGGGTCAAGCGTTTTAAGAAAGGTTGGCAAGACTACCAGCCCTGACAAATGAAGAAACTGTAGCTGCAGTCAAGGAAGTGGTAGAACACCAGAGGATTTCCATCAGTTCATTAGCTACTGATGTGGGGACCTCACATGGTTTGGCATTTTCAGTTGTAAGTGAACATCTTGCCCTCAGCAAGCTTTCCACTGCATGGAGCCCAGGAGTGTTGGGTGAATATTAGTTAGTTCACTCATCTCACCATCAGCCTTTTCAGCAAGATTGATGCTAATAGAAGACGATTTTATGGAACGTATTGTAACTGGGAAGGCTTTTGGATTCACCAGTGTGATCCAGAGAGCAAAGTCCACTCAAAAGAGTGAGTCTCAAGGGGATCTGCAGGACTAGTGAAATTTAAGACACGGAGGCCAGTCAGAAGAACATAGTGACTGCTTTTTGGGGGGAAATCAAGAGAGAGTCCCTTGGAGAGCATAGGATCATTATTAGGGTATATTATGAAGTTTCAAGACAGTTGAAAACTGCTTTGGTGAGGAAACCGCCAGGAAAGTTGTGCTGAGGAATTTTTTTGCATCATGACAATGCATCTATACATTCTTCGAGGGGCTGTACTATAAGAATTTTGTTGGAAACCCTGATCTTGCCCCTTTAGACTTCTTTTGGTTTCCCAAACTCAAAGAACATTTATAGGAAAATGGTGAGCTCCTTGAGGGTTTGATTATATGCTGTAAATCAGAGGGTAGAATTCTTCAGGTAAGGTTTAAAACCCAAAAACCAAACCAATTGCCATCAAGTCAATTCCGACTGATAGTAACCCTCTGCAGCGTTTCAGAGATGAAATCTTTCAGGGAGCAGTGTCTTTCCTCCTAGAGCACTGGTGGGTTTGAACCATGCCATGCTGCTGCCACTGCGCTACCAGTAAGACCTTCCAAAGTGTGTCGTCCTTGATGGAGGAGAGGTAGCTTTACATTTTCGTAGAGATTTCTGTGCTTTTGCGGGAATGCTTTTTGACTTACCCTCACATATGTTGGAACAAAGTGTGACATTTCATCTGCAGATTACACGTCATCACGTTTCAAGATGATCATAAATAAATCTTTTCACAATTTCGCTTGGTCTTTTCAAGAGTTTTTTTGTTTTTGTTTTTGGTTTTTTTTTTTCTATATGAATTTTGAGTCAAGGAAAAAATCTTAAATTTGTTTATTTTTCAGATAAACCAAGCAAAGGTGAGACAAAGCTGCTAATTCCTTTTACTGGGAAAGGATATGTTCTAGGAGAAACAAGCAATTCACTTTCGTCTGGGAAATTCATCACCTCACGTGCCATTAATAAAACACAAGATCGTTTAAGTCAAGACCATTCAGCAAGTGCTGCAAGACCAAACTCTAAAATTGAGGTGAAATTTGAACAAAATGGTTCACGTAAAAAACCTCTTGTATCCACTGATAATCATCAAAATGTTTTAAGCAACTACTTTCCTAGAGCATCAGTTGCCAACCAGAAGGCTTTTAGAAGTGTGAATGGATCTCCAGCGAAAAGTTTAACAGTGGTCGACCTCCCTAAAAACTCTTCTGGTTCTCAGAGAAGGGTTACATCTTCTAGGATATCCCTAAGAAATTCTTTAAAAGCAATGGATTCAACATCCCTCAGTGCATCCCGGGATGTTAGTGGGTCTGATGACAAAGTTCCAAATAAACGCCCCAGGCTGGAAGACAAGACTGTTTTTGACAGTTTTTTTATTAAGAAAGAGCGAATACAAAGTGATGGTGGAGATCCGAAGTATAAGTCACACCCGACAACTTCAGCTCAGGATCCTAGCAGCTCATCCAGTCAGAACAACATGGTTCATTGTCCTGTTTGTCAGAAGGAAGTTTTGGAATCTCAAATTAATGAGCACTTGGACTGGTGCCTTGAAGGTGATAGCATTAAAATCAAGAGCTGAAAACATCTCTGAAACACTTAAGGCTCTCATACCACCTGGGTTACCTCACTAATGTGCTGTGCCAGCCAGTCAGGAAGCCTGATTCATTTGTACGTTAGAAGTTAGTTCATGCAACCGATACAAAAGGTTTTGTTTTATATATTTATATATATAATGTGTATGTATGTATGCAGAGAAAAAAATGTCTCGAGGTGCTTTATTCACACGTGCCTTATATTTACTATAGCCCCAAATTCCACATGTGTATATATATATATATGATTTTTAGATACTCTTGTTATTTATTACATTTAGAAGTGTTTATGAATCTGTTAATTTTGTTTAAATTTGTTAGTTTATGCAGTCCCTAAAATGTCAATGTGAATTTTGTTTAAATTTGTTAGTTTATGCAGTCCCTAAAATGTCAATATGAATTTTGTTTAAATTTGTTAGCTTATGCAGTCCCTAAAATGTCAATATGAGAAATCCTGTCAGGAGTTTGGGTTAAATTATTTCTTTTTGTGTTGCTACTAAAATTAATTCTAAGACATACTGACCCAAAACACTAATGCAAAGTATACCAGTTATTTGAGAGTACTCTGTTTGGTTTTTCAAAATGTTAACAGGAAATTTATTTTCTATATTTTAAGTAATTTTATTTCACCTTTACAAGAAAGGTGTCAGCACATTTTAAGTCACATAGATAAGGAACATAGGAAAATAAATAACGTTTTGAAACTCAGTACTAATAAGTAACAAAATAACAAAGTTGTCCAGTTTAATTAAAGTTGCTTAGTTTATTAGCAGTAGAAGATTATTTGAAAATAGTATTATGAATCTTAAACCAAATTTGATAAAAGAAACACTGTTTATGCATTTTTAAAAGTTCCTTTTAAAAAATGTTCTTTTCCATGTTCTAGCAAAGGAATAAAGATACTTTTTATCAGTTTACTTTGTGTGTCATGACTGTACTTACAGCATGTTGGCATATTTCCAAGATCTTAGTTCACAAGGTTTTATTTTTGTTTATCATTATTTTGCTGCACAACTTGTATAAACTGTAAAGTGCACAAAACTCAAGTATACAGTTTGAGAAACGTTTACATAGCATCCATCAGCACACCTGTTGGCCAGTCACATTGCAGAACATTTTCATTGTTGTACAAGGCTCCTCATGAGGGCCTTTTCCTAGTCAGCCCCTAGTACCCAAGGTAACCACTGCTTAGACCTCTGCCTGGTTTTGAACTTCATAAAGTATCTTTTTAAATTAGCAATGGTTTTTTTTTTCACTGCTCTGTACCATTTTATATGAATTTGTTCACTGTAGTTTGAGTGGACATTAGAATAATTTCCAGTTTGGGCCTGTAATGACTGCTAAGATCACTCCTACAATGTTTGGTGACCATATGTACTCGTTTCTCTTGGGGAGTGAAACTGCAGGGCCATGAGGCTATATTTAGGTTCCACATTCTTAACCCGCTTGTCAATCCTTGTATTTATAGTCCGTCTAGTTGGGTGTTCAAAAGTCTTGGTATGAAGTAAAACAAACAAACAAACAAATATTTACAAAAAATGGCTATTAGAATATGTGTTTTTGTTGACTATATACAGTTATACTTTCACAGAAGGACCATTTTCTGTAATTTAACAAATTATGTGCATTTAAATGTTTTATTTCCACATGTACAAGGTACTGGGGTTCTGATGGGATTAAGACAGTCCATGTTTTCAAGGCACCTCACAACCTAGGTAAGAAGACAGAATCTGATGAATTAACAGTGTAGCTTGTTAAGTACCCATGTAGTTAGTACTAAGTGCTGTGAGGCTTCAAGGGGGAACACTCAGTATTATATAGCCCAGGGGTTCCTGGGCTGTTTCTTAAAGGAGACCTCTTCGAAGTAGAGACAGCTCAAGTGAGGAGAGACTCACCTGGAACAGAAGGCAAGAAAAGGCATTGCAAGGAGTCACCCCAGAAAAGGCCTGGACAGAAACCAGAAATCCACGGGACTTTCACCCTTAGCGACCCTAGGTAGGATTTCTGAGGAGCAGCTAATGGGTTTGAGCCACCAACTTTATGGTTAGCAGCCTAGTGCTGATCATACAACCACACTGTGGTGTTGTGAAGTGCCATTTGAGTTGGTTCCAACCCATAGCGACTCTTACACAGTTTCCGAGGAGCAGGTAGTAAGCTTGAACCACCGACCTTGCAGTTCAAATGACTTTAGTCTGGTGCATTAACCGACAGCGCCATACCAGGAAAGCTGCCTCCAGTGAACAGAGTGTAAAATGTGAGGAGTGAAAGGGCACAAAAGACTTCAGTGAGGGCAGACCTAGCAAAGCAGTAGAATTGAGATGACAGGATACCTTGTCCCCAGTTTGTGTGGTTTCTGATGAAAAGCACCTGCTCCTTGAAGTGGCTGTGGTGATGAGGGCCTTGGAAGTGCAGTGAAGCCTGCCCAGATGTGTTCTGATGGGTTCTTCTGAGGAGTATAGACTAGAGAAAGAGGGCCAGTGGAAGGGTGGAGAGGAGTGAGAACTGTTTAGGTAACAAAGTCAGGAATTGATGGCAGGTTCTGGGACATGTCTATTAACGCATAAAAATGGAAGCTTGAAATTTGGCATTCAATAGATTTTGTTTCATCTCTGTAAGAAACTTTTGAGAAACCTTGCATGTTAAGACTTGCTACTCTGCCAATCACAGTTATAAGACGCCCTTGGATTTCAAACAAGTTCTGTTCTTTGACCTTCTTTTAAGTTGAATTTGTATGTAAATCTGAACACTTGTTACAGCTCAGTCAAATGTTTGTCTTAGTATATAGCTCTTAGTGTACCTCTACATTAAACACGTTCAGATACACTAAACCATCTTTAACATGAAAGAGTAGTGATTTTTGATAGGTTTTGCAAAGAAGTACCTACGACTGTCATTGTATTCTTAATAGACTTTGCCAGGTGGAAGGTGTTGGCTTGTGACATGGGTTATAAGTTGCTGTTTGTTACTCGAGACTGCCTGTATATAAAATAATTTTTGTTTTTTCTGGTTTTAGAGTAAGCTTTTTATCATTTAAAGCAAATTCTGACCTTCATAGAGCTGGGAATTCCAGTTCAACATTGAAATGCTATCATCACCACTCCCCCGCACCTCCCGCCATTATGGGGGAAAAAGGGTGAAGGAGAAAGAAACTAGCCTTTATTTCTGTAAAACACTGTTTAAAAAAATATAGTTACACATTAGCTAGCAAAATTACTGTAAATTAGCAACTTGTTTACTTTTGTAACATAGATTTATATTAAGTGACATCACAAGTCATTTTGCCTCATAGTGACTGGTAAGTTTGAACTGCCAACTTTGCACTTCAAACCGACCTTGTGGTTAAGTGCTTATCCTACTGTGCCACACCAGGACAAATGCATATTGTTGTTAGGTGCCATCGACTCAGTACTGACTCATAGCGACCCTATGCACAACAGAACAAAACACTACCCGGACCTGGGCCAACCTCACAATTGTTGCCACGCTTGAGCCCACTGAAGCTGCCAATCTGCCAATCCCATCTCATTGAGGGTCTTCCTCTTTTCCTCTGACCCTCCACCTTACCAAACATCCTCCTCCAGCGACTGGTCACTCCTGATAGTACGTCCGAAGTATGAGACACAAGTTTGGCCATCCTGGCCTCCAAGGAGCACTCTGGCTGCACTTCTTCCAACACATATCTGTTGGTTCTTTTGGCAGCCCATGGTACTTTCAATATTCTCCAACACCATAACTTAAAAGCATCAATTATTCTACGGTCTTCCTTATTCACAGTCCAGCTTTTGCATGCATATTGAGGTTATTGAAAATACCATGGCTTGGGCCAGGTGCACCTTAGTCTTCAAGCTGACATCTTTGCTCTTCAACACTTTAAAATGGTCTTGTGCAGTCGTTTGATTTCTTGACTGTTGCTTCTATTGAGTGTTGATCTTGATCGAAGAATGAAGTTCTTGACAACTTCAACCTTTTCTCCGTTGGTAAGAATGTTGTTTATTGGTCCAGTGGTGAGGATTTTTGTTTTCTTTACATTGAGATGCAATCCACACTAAAGGCTGTGGTCTTTGGTCTTCATCAGTAAGTATTTTAAGTCCTCTTCACTTTCAGCAAGCAAGATTGTATCATCTGCATATCACAGGTTACTAATGAGTTTTCCTCCAATCCTGATGCCACAATTTTCTTTATATAACCCAGATTCTCAGATTATTTGCTCAGCATACAGGTTGAATAAATATGATGAAAGAATACAACCTTGTCACACACCTTTCCTAATTTTAAACCATTCAGTGTTCCCTTGTTCTGTTCGAACAACTGCCTCTTGGTCCATGTACAGATTCCTCATGGGCACAAGTGTTCCAGAATACTCATACTTCGCAATGTTGTCCATAGCTTGTTATGATCCACACAATCAAAGGCCTTTGCGTAGTCAATAAAGCACAGGTAAATATCTTTCTGTTACCTGTTTTCAGCCAAAATCCATCGGACATCAGCAATAATATACCTCGTTCCAAGTCCTTTTCTGAATCCAGATTGAACCTCTCGAAGTTCTTTGTCAATGTATGCTTGTAGCTGTTTCTGTATTATCTTTAGTAAAACTTTACTCACATGAGATATCAAAGAGATTATCCATGATTTCTGCATTCCATTGGGTCACCTCTCTTTGGAATGGGCACAAATATGGATCTCTTCCAGTCAGTTGGCCACATAGTTGTCTTCCAAATTTCTTGGCATACATAAGTGAGTACTTCCAGTCCTGCCTCACTTTCTTGAAAGACTTCAATTTGTATTCCATCAATTCCTGGTGCCTTGTTCTTTGCCAATTCCTTCAGTGCACCTTGGACTTCTTCCTTCAGGATCATTGGCTCTTAATCATATGCTACCTCTTGAAAGGGTTGAACATCAACCATTTCCTTTTGGTACACTGACTCTGTGTATTTTTATCATATTCTTTTGATGCTTTCTGCATCGTTCAGTAATTTGCCCAGAGAAT